GGGGGCTGCTTGCCCGCCTCTTGCCTTTGGACTATGGACCAGACTTTATGTGAATGTGTTAACCCAGATAGCTATGCCATGGAGCCCATTCGTGTAGTTAAAGACTTCGGCTCCATGGCAATTGAACTGTGTGAATAGGATCTGAGCGCTATTCGGTAGTTTTGTGCGCTCAGATCCCAGCTATCTGGGGATATGTGAAATGTCTGTGTCTTATGTGTAAAAGGTGACTTTATGTATTTTAAAGTGTTTTGTGTCTTTTTGCAACCATGTGCTTAATGGAGTCTTGTGTCTGTCCTGGGAGATAATTGAATTACTCTCCAGGATAGAAGACTCTGAAACTGGTTTGGGCCAGAAAGCCATGCTTCATTTAGTCACAAAGGACTTTCCCTTAACTTTTGAACCCCTGGTCTGATTCGTGCCATTTTTTAATATGTTGTTCCCCTGAATGGATTGATTATGAAAATGTATGTTTTATGTTTGTGACATGTATATTTTAGAAGTTATAAATATTGTGTAAAAACTGTATTCCTCTGCCGGTGATAATGAGATTACCCATTGTGTTCAGTAATCATATCACCTGCAGAGGGGAGGATTTTGTGTGGGAGTGTCTGGGTGTATTGTACGGATTGATTGGTTGTTTTGTAACGCCCTGTGGGCTGTACTATGTTTGTGGATTGGGAATAAAAGAGACTGTATGTGACAGTACAGGGAGTTCCTGTTTTAACCCTCAAAGTGAAGTGTCGTCTCATTATTGGGGGAAGGATTCATTGTATGCTGTTCCAGTTTGACTGCTAGGAGAGTAAACCTATTCGTATGGTTCCTATTCAACTGTCTACAGCATTCATATGCTTGAGAGCATTCACATGCTCCTACGGTTAGGTGGTTTTGGTGTCTGCTGCAGTGCTTGGAGTCCTCAGGAAGTGCTAGGAGCATCCTTCAACGGAGGTACCCAGTCGGGGTGCCAGGTGATCCGTTACAATATTGTATAGATAGTTATTCTGTGCACTGTTTATTGAAGGTTCTGCTTGTGACTATGAATAAGGTGTCATGTGGCGTGAAATACAATGTATCTTTAGGGGCCAATTCAGCGTGTTGGACTTTTTGTCAAGAATTGTTTTCATTTTTTCTTTTTTTCTTCTTCTTTTTATTTCTGTATTTATTAACCGATTGTGTGATGTTGAGTTTGTTATTTTAGTGCTGGGTGCAGGCCAGTGCTGGGTGTTCATTATAGTTATACAGATCACACCCAACTCTGAATGAGGTTATAAGTAGTGACACCATCAGAACAAAAAAAAGCAAATGTGCACACACTATGTAGATAAAGAAGTGTGATGCTGGACCCTAATCACCTTTATAATGACTGTGTTCTTTCATAATCATGTATAGTCAATTTATCTTAAATACACTCTTCATACTTTAACCCCTTAAGGACCAAACTTCTGGAATAAAAGGGAATCATGACATGTCACACATGTCATGTGTCCTTAAGGGGTTAATGGTATATATGACAGTATACTCTTATTGCACACAGCTTGAATCCTCACCATGTATTAGTTTGATATAATATTATTAGTGTTTCTTATTCTAGTTCAATGTAAAAGACTCCAGCTGCTGTATCTCACATCACAGGTTCAACTCCCAGCAAGATCAACTCAGCATCTTCATCCTTCCAGAGTCAATAAACCAAGTACCATTAAGTTGTGTAGTAATAATAACAATAGGCTCCAGGATATACTTGGAAACTGGCAAAAGTCATATAGTCATATTCTTAGCTAAATGTTTTGATATTATCGCTATTATTAGGACAAGTCTTTTGACAATTAAAGGTGTTCATGATGATGAACAAACCTAAAGGGACACTATAGGCATCAAAACAACGTCAGCTGAATGAAGCAGTTTTGGTGCATATATCATGTCCATGCATTCTCACTGCTTAATTATCTGTCATTTAGCAGTTTCATCACTTTTGTTTCTGTCTATGCAGCCCTAGCCACACACACACTGGCTGTGACTGACATACTGGCTGCATGAAAACAAAATGGTTTCATTTTCAATCAGATTTTAACTTGCTTTAGAAGTTCTTACCTCCTGCTTTGTAACTTGAACTTTAATCACACACAGGAGGCTCCTGCAAGGTCTAGAAGGCTACTAACAGAGCAAGAGATAAACCGATCTAAATTAAACAGAATGCACAATAAAGGAAGTTTAAACATTAGATGACTCTTTACAGGAAGTGTTTAGGAAGGCTGTTTTTACTAAGGCTAATTTACATGCAGGGAGTCGTGACGAGGGCTGCATAAACAAAGAGATTTAACTCCTTAACAGTAGAGAATTGGGTAGTGAGATTGCAGGAGCATGATCTATACACCAAAACTGATGTTCATAGTTTTCAATAAACAACCATCTGACTGGATGTCCTCCCGCTTTCTGAAACTCAATCTCTCTAAAACTGAGCTCTTTGTCTTTCCTCCTCCTAATACTGATCCTCCTCTTTCACTCTCCCTTCAAGTTTGTGGTACACACATCAGTCCATCCTTGCAAGCGCGCTGTCTTGGCGTCATACTTGTTTCCGGCCTCACCTTTGAGCCTCACATCCAGCATGTTACCAAATCCTGTAGATTCCATCTTAAAAACATAGCCCGCATCCGCCCCTTTCTTGCACCAGATACTACCAAGGAGCTTGTCCATGCGCTAGTAATTTCCCGCATGGATTATTGTAACCCTCTCCTGATTGGTCTTCCCAAAAGCCGTACTGCACCACTACAGTCCGTAATGAACGCTGCTGCCAGACTGATTTTCCTCTCTAGTCGTTTCTCTCACACCTCACCCCTCTGCCAGTCCTTATATTGGCTTCCTGTATGCTATAGGAGTCAATTCAAGGTACTAATTCACACCTATAAAGCACTGAACAACTCTAGCCCCTCTTATATCTCCTCACAGATCCATAGGTATGTCCCTTCTCAGTCTCTCCACTCTGCCCGTGACCACCTCCTGTCCGTTGTCCGCACCCGTACGGCCAACTCACGCTTGCAGGACTTCTCGCGGGCGGATCCTTTCTTATGGAATAGCCTGCCTACCCCCATCAGACTCTTCCCTAGTCTTGCATCTTTTAAGAAGTGCCTTAAAACCCATCTCTTTAGGAAAGCTTATGGCCTCCAAGACTAACCTCTACCTCACATACATGTCTCTTGCTCTCTCCTAAAGGGCAGCCCACCTTATTTGACTGCAAATTCCTGTCCTAATGTGTTTTACTCCTATAGAATGTAAGCTCGATTGAGCAGGGTCCTCTTCAACCTATTGTTCCTGTAAGTTTATTTGTAATTGTTCTATTTATAGTTAAATCCCCTCTCATAATATTGTAAAGCGCTACGGAATCCGTTGGCGCTATATAAATGGCACTAATAATAGGGCATCAACACAGTAAAGGAGGAGACTATATTTAAAAGAAGAAAAACTACCACAACAAGAGGACATAGTCTTAAATTAGAGGGACAAAGGTTTAAAAATAATATCAGGAAGTATTACTTTACTGAGAGGGTAGTGGATGCATGGAATAGCCTTCCAGCTGAAGTGGTAGAGGTTAACACAGTAAAGGAGTTTAAGCATGCGTGGGATAGGCATAAGGCTATCCTAACTATAAGATAAGACTAGGGACTAATGAAAGTATTTAGAAAATTGGGCAGACTAGATGGGCCGAATGGTTCTTATCTGCCGTCACATTCTATGTTTCTATGTTTCTATAATAATAATAAATAGTGTCCCTTTAGGTTTCCATTTTCTAGTATATCTTCTGGCTTTCATTAAAAGGAACATGGAAATACACTGATATAATATTCAGTAAAAAGTAACACCTTAACACCTTGAGGTATGTGTTGATATTTGCAATGCCATGTTAATCTATGTGCATGTAAATCCATGTAATTTGCTATGATTGTCATTCCTCTGAAAGCATAACTAACTTGGTTAATGCCCCTACTTTAGAGTGTGTTCAGACCTCAGAGTTGTAGGCTATATTACTTGCAGGGTTAACTAAAGCATTCACCTTTTTGAGTTCAATAAAATGTATCATTAAACTTGACATCCATAATCAACTGCCAATTTGGTTAAATCTGAACGCATGTCTTAATCGGATATGTGTGCTCTTGCGGAGAGACATGCAGATCATCAACTTACCTCTTTTCCTGCTTCAGGTTCCAGAGTTAATTGTGCTTTCATACTATGGAGGTATAAATACATTTAGGGATCTCCATACTCAATACCCCCCTCCCCCTCTTTTTTAATCCACTAACCTTTGTCCCAAAGCTGATTTTCTCACAATGTAAACAAGATAGTTCTTCATTGCGTAGTGACCTTACAGATCCACTATTTGATCCACACTGAGGTCTAGATTTCACTACGAAGACAAACAGCAGTTTGTCCATGGGAAACATGCTATTCATTCACAAGAGATATACTTATCATATCCAGTCCTAAGTGTGTGCCACTGATGTAAAAGTAGTCTGTACAAACAAATCTTTTCAATAGGCTATATTACTATTTATATAGCACCCAGATACATTCCACGGCGCTTTATAAGTATAGAAAAGGACTATTTATAGGTGAAAAATGCCCTGTTCAAACAAGCTTACAATATATAAGGATTTGAGGCAGGCAGATATGCATAAAGCATATTAGAAACGGGGAAATCCAGGTTTAAAGCAGCTCTAAGCAGCCAATACACATCAATAAAGATTGCCAAGACAGTTATAATGCTCATCAGACAATATGATCTCAAAGTATTAGTTATAAATAACAGTGTCCTCTATAAACACATCTATGTATATGTTCGATGCTAATCAGTTTGATACTTTCAAAAGATTGTTGTAATATTTGTAGATACTATATTTGGCTAACATGATTTAAGTTGTATTAAGCACTAGAGATGTCGCGAACCGTTCGTGAACTTCCCGCGAACGGCTCGCCACGGTTTGCCACGAACCGTTCGCGGCGAGCTCCGGTCAGCTGACACATCCCGGCCAATCTCCAGCAGACCCTCCCTCCCAGACCCTCCAACCTCCTGGACAGCATCCATGTTGAAGCTGCCTTCAACATGGATGCTGTCCAGGAGGTGGGAGGGTCTGGGAGGGAGGGTCTGCTGAAGATTGGCCGGGATGTGTCAGCTGACCGGAGCTCTCCGCGAACGGTCGTGGCGAACCGTGGCGAGCCGTTCGCGGGAAGTTCGCGAACGGTTCACGACATCTCTATTAAGCACATGTAGAATGTTTACATAAAGCATGGTCTATGTGTCTTGATACCTAGAAACTTGCTTTAAAGGGACACTATAGGCACCCAGACCACTTCAGTTCATTGATGTGATCTAGGTGCAGAGTCCCTGTTGCCTTAACCCGGTAATAGTAATTATTGCAGTTTCTGAGAAACTGCAATTATTACCTTACAGTGTTAAGACTGTCATTTCTGTGTGGTTAGGCAACTTTTGGTCATGGACCATAGATAGGTACCCAGAACACTATGGTGAATCTGTCAACCTCAAACAATATCTATACCTCTCGTTATACCTGTTTGTAAAGGGATGATCTAGAATTCTAGATTGTTTACCAGGATTATCAACAGAAAGATTGTTGACTGTAGTTTGCATTCTTAGTTTTTATTAATTAGTGGTAAACTCTTTCTTTGCATAGAGATCCTGATTTGCTATTGGATTCTATCACAAGAGATACACTTAACATTGCAGAATAGAACATATATGGAGAAATTGCTGTTCAATTACCAGAGATATCATTTTTCACTTATCATAGTTTTGAAAGTTGCCAGTTTGCATACTTATTTAACACTTGTATATTTGTATATATACGTGTACAAGTAGGTGCATTGAGCTAGACGGAGCTAAAAATGATATTAATTATTCTGGATCATAATGTAAGAATGGTGAAACTGTGACTTTACAATACATAGAAATTATTATTCATCCTCATTTGTCTTTTTAAATAAGTGTACAATAGCATTAAGGAATCCTAAAGTGAATAAAAGTGTAAGGCTAAATTAATAAAATATCCAGAACAAAGAGAGGTGCTCCTATCACCATATGTGAGTCACTCAAAACACATAAAAATAAACAGTATACAATAAAAAATAGGTGAGGGCACACTCCAAACAACACTTATAATTACCCTTAGTTGAAAGATATACTCCGTATTTAATTAATTCCTGTATAAAATATGTAAAAACAGGAAAAAACACACATAGGGTAATAACGTAAAAAACCTTAAAATTTAAAAGACAAATAAGGTTTCACTCACATGGTCATGAGCCACTTAAAATAAGCTGGCTCAGACTAAAAGCGTAGAAAATATCCGTTTGTGGTACTTCACACACCAGGCTGTTCCCCCTTTGTGGTCTCTATTTGTAATTAAAATATTCTAAATAAAAGTGGACTTTTAATTCATTTTACCCAGTGTTTTGTTTTTACCCCTTATGATAGTGTGTCCAATAAAGTTTTATTTTATTCCCTGCATCCTGGAATATTTTAATTACAAATAGAGACCACAAAGGGGGAACAGCCTGGTGTGTGAAGTACCACAAACGGATATTTTCTACGCTTTTAGTCTGAGCCAGCTTATTTTAAGTGGCTCATGACCATGTGAGTGAAACCTTATTTGTCTTTTAAATTTTAAGGTTTTTTACGTTATTACCCTATGTGTGTTTTTTCCTGTTTTTACATATTTTATACAGGAATTAATTAAATACGGAGTATATCTTTCAACTAAGGGTAATTATAAGTGTTGTTTGGAGTGTGCCCTCACCTATTTCTTATTGTATAGCATTAAGGAATCATTTACTTTTTTTCTCTCAATGAAGTTGTATGGGTGCTTTTTCCTTAATTTTAACTCTGGGTGTATAAATAATGTTTTCATTACAGGGTTTAAATGCCTCACTCTGACAGCCGCTAGAGGCGCTTCTGACGAAATAGCCAAGAAAAATGTGGCTATTTCAATCACATGGTCTCACATAGATAATCTGTTGGATACAGTGCAGAGTTTTGTTGCGCATGTGCCATAGCCTCCAAATGCTTTCTCGATGATCCTAGCCATGGAGGCTGGATGGTAGCATGGGGACTGGCTCTGCAAGAGAGAAAAGGTAGGTAGAAGACCTTTTTTGAGCTCTGCAGGTGGGCGCCGCGAGTTGGCAACCAGGGCAACATAGAAGTGCAAAATTTGTATTCCTATGACTATAGTGTTTCTTTAAGAATATTATGCTTTTATTGTATAGTGCAAATGAAATATTGAAGCTTACATTCAAATATTGTAACTTAAATTACAAACATTACAGAGAATTTTTTTTTTAACAAGTTAATTGGCGAGATTTTGCATGTTTGCTTTTAAATTCCTTGATGTACTCTGTGGTTTTATGGGTGTAACGTGCTATAGTTAAGTTATAATGCAATAAATAAGAGAAAAGAAAAAAAAACAACTAATGTGTTTTGGTCTTTGAAGAATGGATGCATTCATTCAATGAAATTCAAAGGGTTAAGTAGTGGCACACAGGAAAGCGCTCCATTCAACTCTCAGCATGGTTTTAATCAGAGGAATACACAATTTTTCTGAGCATCAGATTTACTCCTCTGGGAGTGACACCATGTGTTCTTACTGCAGCAACAGGTTGCATTCCTAAACAGAATGTGCCTTTATTTTATGTTTGTGGTAAATTAGCGCCCCCTAGTGATAAACATAGAATATTTTGCTGGCAGAGGATATTCTGCTAGGAATAATCAGCTTCCAGGCCAAACAAAAGATTAGTAAGGTTATTTGAGCAAAACATCAGATCTGGAAACATCCAGGGCTAAATTTACAATTCAGATGTCTCTACCTCCCACAAAATGAAAATGAAGATAAAGTGAGTTTAGTGAATTTAGTAACTGGGCATTTCAGGCTTCAAAATGTCTAAAATACCCACTTTCTTCTAGTTATGCCAATTCATACCAGCAATGGGAGCTGTGATAGGCTAAAAATACGTTCAGCTGACACTCTCAGCCAATCACAGCCACCCACTGCTGCCAGGGCCGGATTAACATAGGGGCTGATGGAGCTGCAGCTCCAGGCCCAGGCCCATGGAATAGGCCCATTGATTTTTTCACACACTACTCTTAGGGATTCCACCCGGCTTTTATTTTATTGGCACAGCCAGTATTTGAGGCCGCCTGGCTGGTGCCAATATTGCAGTGATAGTGGCAATATAAATGCTGGTATTTTTCTCAGTATAAATGGAGATTACTCTGCAATACCAGCACTGGCCAGTATATATGTGGAGACAGGCAGGCATAGGAAGTTCCAGCATATCCCTCCCTGCCTATCTATACTCACTGATCTGCAGGGGTGCAGCTACAGAGTCCAGACAGCAACTCCCACCCTGCAGACACAGCCTACAGCTCAGGGAAGTAAGGGATGGGGGGAAAGGCTGCAAGGAGACATACACTGAGACACTAAGGGACATTGGGAGACATTATGGCAGACACTGAGACACTAAGGGACACTGGGAGACATTATGGCAGACACTGAGACACTTAGGGACATTGGGAGACATTATGACACAGACACATGGGGACACAGTGTCCCCATGTCTCCCAGCCAGTGTCCCTGGTGTCTCAGTGCCCCTAGTCTCCCAGTGACCCCTAGTCTCCCAGTGCCCCCAGTCTGCCAGTGTCTCACTGTCCCCATGTCTCCTAGTGCCTCGATGTCTCTCAGTGCCTCAAGTGTCACAATGTCCCCAAGCTAGTGTCTGTGGCCCTGGTGTCTCAGTGTCCCCATGTCTCCCAGTGCCCCCATGTCTCAATGTCCCCATGTCCCCCAGCCAGTGTCTCTAGTATCTTTGTCCCTGGTGTCTGTGTCCCCATGTCTTCAAGTGTCCCCTATTTTCCCATTATCCCCATGTGTCCCAGCCAGAGTCCCCTAGTCTCCCAGTGTCACTGGTGTCTCCGTGTCCCTAGGTCTCCCCGTGTCCCCAGGTCTCCCCGTCTTCCTAGTGTCCTAGTGACATGGGGACCCTGGGATGCATGGGGACACAGGGAGACATGGGGCATTGAGATACTGATACATAGGATCACTGGGAGACCTGGGGACACGACACTAGGGGACACTGGGAGACATGGGGCACTGAGACACTGATACATAGGAACACTGAGACCTGGAGTAAACGACACTTGGGGCACTGAGTCATGAGGGCACTGGGAGACATGGGGGCGCTGGGAGGAATCCATCTATACAGCAGATTTAAACTATGTAGTTTTTTGATGATTTTACAGCATTTTCTCTTATGTCACTCCTTGTGATTTACATCATGTGATGTCACCTACACATATTTAATTATGCAAATTAGTAAGGCCGGTATGTTTTTCCAAGAAAGGTGGCAACCCTAACTACTTTTCACATACTCTTACTTAAGTATGGAAACTTAAGAGGGATGTATGGGAACAAAACTTGTGTGGACTGGCTGATAATGAATATAGTTAAAGGGACACTATAGTCACCAGAACAACTACAGCTTATTGAATTTGTTCTGGTGAGTAGAATCATTACCATCAGGCTTTTTGCTGTAAGCACAGTCTTTTCAGAGAAAATGCTGTGTTTACATTACATCCTAGTGATAACTTCACTGGCCACTCCTTAGATGACTGTTAGAGATCCTTCCTGGGTCATGGCTGCCTAAAATGTATCCAAACATTCAGTGTCTCCTCCCTCTGCATGTAGACACTGAACTTTCCTCATAGAGATTCATTAATTAAATTCATCTTTGTCAGTCTCAGCCAATCCTATGGGGAAGCACTGTGATTGGATCAGGCCACCACTTCTTTTTTTTTTTTTTGTGAATACGTATTTTATTAGGTATTTCCAGAACGTCAATTTCAGTTGTATCAAATCATAAGAAGGCATTTATAGGGACGCGCAGGTCCCAGTAATTGCACTTAGTGTTTATCGCCTTAGAACATAAAAAGGAAAACAGAAAAAAGGGGAGGGGGAGGGGAAAGAAACTACATTCAAGTAAACCGGCAATGGTGACACGCAGGTCGCCTTTTTAAAGCACAAGTAACATTTACGTGGTGGACTCGCAGGTCCTATGAAATATAAACAATGGGTGGTACTTTCATATGCTTTATAGGGTGACAGTG